TTTACATTAATCACTAGACCATGACCAAGACTACACACAGGAAATTCTGCTTTTGGAAATGTCCCATGTTGTTCCAATTCCGAACTTGATGCTTCACAAAATATAAATAAAATAAAATAACTATTTTTGAGAATTAAATTCACGGCTTGTCTGTTGGTAACAATTGTTATTTATTAACTTTTGTTTGGGAGTTGTGTCGGATTGTGCTTTGACTCTAAATTTTTTTCCTATCACAATTACATAGTATATATATCAAAATAATAATTATTTTTTATTTTTAAATTTATTTTAAATTAATTATTATTTTTTATTTTTTAATATAAATAAATATTTTTTTCTTACTTTAATCATATAATTATCTATTTATTTTAAATTAATTATCTAAATACAACAAATCTCTGTTTTATAGATATATACAATTATTGTCCTTAAATATTTAATTTGAAGAAAAGTTTAAAAAATAATAGTTATTTTGAAATGGAGTAAATAATATTAATTAAAAATATTTAAAATATATAAAATTTTAATTAAAATTAATTATTTATTTATAATAAATTTTAATTTTTAGAAATTGTGCTACAGAAAAAAAAAAGTATTACTCCCATGTAAAGAACTCCAGAGTAAAACTTTAGTCAACCTATAAAAATAACATTAAATTGAAACATTTTCTAAAAACATTAAGAATAATTAAGCCGTATTGAGAAATTAAACAAAATCATTATGAAAAGAATATATTTACAATACTACATGATATTATGATTTTATAATATATGTGTCAATGTATGATCAACTCTTTTCATTCAAGATTTATATGTAATATGTACATTTACTAATTTAATAATACACAGGGATAGAACCATAGTATTGAATAGTTAGGTATAAGTCCTACCATCAATTCTAAAAATCTGAAAAATAGAAATACCCAAATTAAAATTTTAGAAAAAATAATATTATGAACCCGACCCTTAAATCCCTTTTTAAGATAAAATTATGCTAAAAACTCAAATTTAGAAATGTAAAATAACATGCCTTCTATACCTTTTATTAATTCTTTGCTCCACCACCAAAGACATAAAATTTTATTTAATATCTCATTATAATTATAAATTTATAATTTTGAATAACATTCAATTATATATTAGGAAAATGCTTTTTGTATAATTTTTTTGTCTTATTTTTTTGTATAATTCGACATATCATTAAAATAATTAGTTTTTTTAATTCATATAAAATTTGTGATATTAAATACATCTATTTATTTAATAACATGTGAAAGTTGGCATCGTTTGGTGAAAGTTTGGGAGCTTGATAGCACAATATGCAATTGGGAAATGCTTTTTGTATAATTTTTTTGTCTTATTTTTTTGTATAATTCGACATATCATTAAAATAATTAGTTTTTTTAATTCATATAAAATCCGTGATATTAAATACATCTATTTATTTAATGATATATATGAAACTTATATGAAAAAATAAAATAAAAAACTTATCCTTATAACATCATCCTATATATTATTATCAAAATCCAGATTAGATGGATTTGAATTCAAGACTTTAGGTTGTAATCATTATCGTTGTCCTTATAACACCATCCTATATATTATTATCAAAATCCAGATTAGGTGGATTTGAATTAAGGCTTTAGGTTGTTATCATTATCGCTGTCCACTGACCATTCAGGGGGCCAGACACAATAAAGAGTGGAAAAGGAGAGCATGAAGAAATAGATAAAAGGTGGAAAAAGAAGTGCATAAAAGGAATAGCCATCCATTCACAAGAATTCTCCATACACACGAGACCCATTAATTATTCTCAACAGAAATAAGAATTGAGAGTATTTTCTACCCTTTGCCAAAATTTTCCACAAAGATTCTCATACGTTCACAAATGACAGAAATGGAAAGAGGAGGCCGAGGGACCCCGTTGCCATCCCTAGAATTGCTCATGATTTTCCTACACAAAAAGACAATGAATTTCCCTTGAAAGCTTGAAACTTTGTACTAGATTCTTTTGATCTGTTTTTATTAAAAAGTAAACTATATATTTGGAAGAAAAATGATAATCT